GGGGAGGGGGTTGATGGCTTGCGCTGTGGGACGGCCGGAGGGGGGGGGGGTGTCAGACCAGTCTTTTCAAACCTGCAGTAAAACTCGTTCGGGTCTTCAGCCAGTTGTTGATTGGCCTCAGTGCTGGGGGATGGGGTCTTGTAGCTGGTGATGGCTTTCAGGCCTTTCCACACTGATGTAGAGTCATTACTTGAAAGCTGTTTTTCTTTAGCTTTTCAGAGTAGTTTAACTTTGCCACTCTTATCTCCCTATTCAGTGTGAATTTGGCCTGTTTGTACAAGTCTTTGTCCCCACTCCTGTAGGCATCCTCTTTGGCCTGGCGAAGCTGTTTGAGTTTTGCACTGAACCAAGGTTTGTCGTTGTTAAATGTTAAATAAGTCCTGGTGGGAACACGCATGTTCTCACAGAAACTGATGTAGGATGTCACGGTGTCAGTGAGCTCATCCAGATCAGTAGCTGCAGGCTCAAAACCACTCCAATCAGTAAGTTCAAAGCAGGCCTGTAAATTCTTCTCTGCTTCAGCAGTCCATCTCTTTACAGTTTTCACTACAGGCTTAGCAGATTTGAGTTTCTACCTGTAGGCTGGTAGAAGATGAACCAAACAGTGATCAGAGAGTCCCAGAGCTGCTCGGGGGACAGAGTGGTATGCATCCTTTAAAACAGTGTAGCAGTGGTCCAGTATATTGCTGTCTCTGGTGGGGCATGTGATGTTCTGTCTATATTTAGGCAGTTCATGGGTGAGATTAGCTTTATTAAAATCACAGAGAACGATAATGAAAGAGTCCGGATAACGTTGTTCTGTGTGTGTGATCTGATCGGCCAACAGTTCTAACGCCGCGCTCACTCACGCATCAGGAGGAATGTACACACTGAACAGAATAAATGAGGAGAACTTCTTCTCTGCTTCAGCAGTCCATCTCTTTACAGTTTTCACTACAGGCTTAGCAGATTTGAGTTTCTACCTGTAGGCTGGTAGAAGATGAACCAAACAGTGATCAGAGAGTCCCAGAGCTGCTCGGGGGACAGAGTGGTATGCATCCTTTAAAACAGTGTAGCAGTGGTCCAGTATATTGCTGTCTCTGGTGGGGCATGTGATGTTCTGTCTATATTTAGGCAGTTCATGGGTGAGATTAGCTTTATTAAAATCACAGAGAACGATAATGAAAGAGTCCGGATAACGTTGTTCTGTGTGTGTGATCTGATCGGCCAACAGTTCTAGAGCGGCGCTCACACGCGCGTCAGGAGGAATGTACACACTCACCAGAATAAATGAGGAAAACTCCCGCGGTGAATAAAAAGGCTTACAGTTAATGAAGAGAGTTTCCAAATTTGGGCAGCACATCTTCTTTAAAACTGTTACATCTGTACACCAGCCTTCATTGATATAAAACCTAATCCACCGCCTCTCGTTTTCCCCGACGACTCGGTAACGCGGTCTGCTCTGAACAGCTGGAAGCCTGTTAGATGTAACGCGCTGTCCGGGATGGTTTCCGTGAAGCAGAGCGCAGCGGAGTTTAAAAAGTCCTTGTTTGTGCGGGTGAGGAGTTGTAGTTCGTCCGATTTATTTGCTAGGGAGCGGAGATTCACCAGATGAATGCTCGGCAGCAGAGTCCTAAAACCGCGCTGTCGGAATTTCATGAGCACGCTGGCGCGCTTCCCTCACTTGCGTCGCCTGAAGCGCTTGTATAGGAACGCAGCTCCTCCGACTAAAATGTCCAGTAAAACATCTGAATGCTCAAATGTCGGGCAGAAAGTTATTTGGTGTGCTATTTCTGATGTCCAGGAGTTCGTTCCTAGTAAAGCTGATCGGGAAAAAAATGCTCAAGACAGGACAAACAAACAAAAAGAGTTCAAGTACCAAGCACCGACAAACCATGGCTGCCATCTGCGGCGCCATCATGAAAGGACGCAGATGGCATATAATCAGTGATGCTATCTACACCATAGATATATATACATACAGTATCTATGGTCTACACTGGATGCGGTGCGACACGACAAATCCCCGACAGAAAACTGCTGCTGAGTTCTATGTATGACGTATTGACACAAATTTCAAATGATTTTCAACGGTCGCTTTGTCACGTCCAGTGTAGACTTTAGCTGTTGCAGCGCAGACACAGTGTTACTCACCTATTGAGAAGAAAACCTTGGCGTCCAATTGCAGGCCTTCCGCTCCTTGAGTTCTCTCCAGCGCTGGAAAGCTGATCCCATATTTATACGGGTCGTACTTCTTGCCTTAAGCCTTTTTTTGTTCCGCAGACGTTTTCCTCTTTTATTTTTATCCGCCATCTCTATCTTTCTGTCGCTCGGCTCGGCTAATGTCCGTCCTGTGCACTAAATGCTCTCTCTTCCACATCATGAGTAGACACGCCCCTTACTGCTGATTGGCTACAAGTTTGTTTTACTATTCAGACCGAATCAGTTTTCTAAAGTGTTTTTGAAAAATCCCCACCCCACCTTTAACGTAGCCCAATTCCGTGGGAATTTAGGACCTTAGGACCATGTGATATTTCAGTTTTTCTTTTTTAATAAATCTGCAAAAATGTCAACAATTCTGTGTTTTTCTGTCAATATGGGGTGCTGTGTGTACATTAATGAGGAAAAAAAAATAATTTAAATGATTTTAGCAAATGGCTGCAATATAACAAAGAGTGAAAAATTTAAGGGGGTCTGAATACTTTCTGTACCCACTGTATATATTCATTGACACATGTCGTTTTCCAAAATCATACAAATGTGTCTTACTCTACTGTGTAGATGCTGTGAACAAGTTTTTGTGACTTTGAGCTACTCCACATCTTCCTTCCTTACAACACTTCATTTTTCCACAACTACTACTAACATTAACCTATTCCAGTGTTGTCAGATCTTGATAAATTATCAATCTTGTTTGACAAAATAATTGACCTGTCTTGGTGTTCTTTGCTCTGTTGAGCCTGTCAGACATATTTACTAGTATGAACATTATAATATCAGGGTTGAAGATCACATTTCAGACCACAGCACTCTCATTTCTCCCATATATCAATGAATGCAGAACAACAAATCAATGATGGTTCTACCTTTATGGCTATAAAATAAATTAAGAATTTGTATGAAAAAATATATTAGTACATGCAAAAGTATATGGAAGTAAGCTATTTTATTACAGTGGTAATTTCTAAAGAAGATCACTGTGTTTTTTATTTATTTTGGGAATAACATACACAGTATGATTCTAATGAAATGTCAGTCACATTTATTATGAGAAAGAAATCATCATACTTTACATTTCAATTTTATGGTAAATAAAATGTAGTTATTGATGTAGAACTTTCAGAAATATATTTTCATAATCAATTGTAATAAATATATTATGCAATGACCATTTATCCATTATTGTTTTTTAAACAATGGATAATACTACTACTACTACTTCCCAGCTCCTCCAAACAATATAGTTAGGATTTACGTAATATTCTTTGAATCTGTTTTAAAAGTTAACTTTAAAGAAGTACATTGACGATTACTGCCTATTACAATGATTATTTGAATTGGATGTGTGTTTGCTCTCCAGATGAAACACCTCTTCACTTTCCCCCTTTATCCAGCTCATTTTGTCACTTTCCAGCCCCATGCTCTTCAACTTTTCACTTATCTGGAAAACCAGAAAGAAAGAATCAAACAAAACTAAAAACTATGTCCTACTTATAGGCTACATATATATATATATAAATATATAGATATACATACTACATTTAGAAAGGCAGTCTGTAGTGAAGGATCATTCAATGTGCAGTTTGCATTACAGGACAATTTCAACCGTAAAATTTGTTTTCTAATTAACTTGTCAGCTAGAGAAATACAGGGTTAAAGAAAACATAGAAAATACATAAATTAATAAAAACATATAATCAATTGTTTTTAATCTCTGTTTTTTAAAGTGACTAACAAAACTCACCTCCATAGCAAATAAAAGGCTGCTGTAGATCACAGCTATATTGAGCCCATTTTCCAGAATTGTTTCTTGACATGCCAACACAGTCACCAGATCCTGAACTCTGGGATGGTTGATCTGCTTCCCAGTATCTAAAACTGAGATTCCTCTGATCAGACCACTGCCAAGGATCCAGAAACAGACCAATCCAGAACGATGTTTCATTACTGATCAGATTCTGCTGCTCTGGGCTGCTGATACTCGCCAAATCAGTGTGGTGTTGTCTGCAGTAACTCTGAGAATCTCTCCATGTCATAGCAGTCTTATTAATAATAAAACCAGTGCTGTCTGTTCAGAAACACAAGATAAGGACCAGCCCTCAGTCAAGGATCAGCTAAAGCGGAATAAACAAACTCAAACTAAGAGGACTCACCATTGAAACACACAAATGGGAAAACGGTGCTGCAGCTCTCATCATACCAGCTTCCATTAAAACTCCTCACACACTCCCCATCACCACTTGGTTCTCCTGGATTCCAGATACTGTAGTTGGAGATTGTGCCTTCCCCCATAGACCAGAGCCAGCGATGCTCTGTCCCAGTGTGGAGACCTATCCATACTGAACCACTGTATCCAGGATCCACTATATTTACCAGGCTGTTCACATCCTTCATGGTGTCAGCAGTGGCCAGATCAGTGAATCTCGCTCTGCAGTAACTCTGAGCATCTTGCCAGGTCATGCTTTCATTCATATACTGGTAGGTGCGGTAAGGAGACTTGGGCCCTATAACAAATTGAAATGACAAACAGGACAGTAAGAATCATAAATACTGTTGTAAAGGCTCCTTTACGAGAGAGCTTTTATTCCGATATTGTACGTCATCATCCGGCTGAGTAGTCTCGTGAGTTGAGCCGCTTGTTGCCTGCTGCAGTTTGTATCTGCTGTTGTTGAACGCTGAAAGGACGTTAATTCCTGTGTTTTTCTGATATTTCCTGCAGAAGTTACTTTGAGGTGTTAGTCACTGACCTACAAGTAAGCCTGTTTGCTTTATTTTTGTGTTTATTGAGATCGGTATTGAGTTATATATAACTGCATCACACACACATGGCCAGACATGCCCACAGCCGTTATTTCTGTTAGTTTAGCTTAAAGGGGTAGTTCACCCAAATATAACTCCTACTGGATTCATCAGAAAGAAGAAAGTCATATACACCTAGGATGCCTTGAAGGTGAGTAAAACACAGTCTAATTTTCATTTTTGGGTGAACTAACCCTTTAATGATGCTGTTCTATATGCGATTATTTCTTCTTTGTTGAGATGCATATCACTGTTTTTGATTTTCAATTATACTTTTATGATGTGATTTGACATTTGAGATGTTCATGCCAAAGGAGCGATCACTGTGATGTGCCATCCATATATGGAGTGATGTTTATCATGTCAGATCATCGCTTATGGCTTATAATGTATAATGTGATACCTTATTTTCCTTCTTGGATTGTATATTTCACAAAACAATGTCACTGATGAGGATTTAGTATGCTTTGGCTGTCTTTATGTACCAATGGATGTTTATTATTGTATATGCCTAGTTATTGTTAGTTATTCATTAGCCTTTATTGTATTTATTGTGTTCCAGACTAATGCCTCTACTGCCTGTCATTGATAATCTCCTATCAATACATTCCCTAAACCTGATCACCTGTGTTCTCATCCTTATATAATTATTGTGCTCTAACCGGCACCCAGGGGGTTCACTCATCCAAGTCTGAGTCAGATCCAGACAGTCAAAAGTCTCTCCAACAAATACTTATACGGTGATACAATCATGATTAAATATTTTTGCTTTTTGCTTTTCAATGAGTGTTTACATTTTAAAGTCAAAATACGGAGAAAAAACCTTTTGATTGTTATCAGAGTATTTTGTGCACTTAAACACATTCATAGTTAAATAATTCACAAATGACAGAACATGGAGAATCTCATTTCATTTGTTTAAAGAAATCCTCACATCCATGGCAGATAAAAGGACGCTGTAGAACACAGCTTTCATGAATCCATGTCCCAGAACTGGTGGTTGACATGCCAACACAGTCCCCAGATCCTGAACTCTGCGATGGTTGACCTGCTGCCCAGTATCTGAAGAAGTTGCTCCATTTGTCAGACCATTCCCAAGAGTCCTGGAACAGACCAATCCAAACCCATGCTGACGATGAAACGACACTATTGAGCTGATTGTGTTCCTCAGAGTTGCGGATGGTAGGCAGATCTGTGTAATGCTGTCTGCAGTAGCTCTGAGCTTCCACCCAGTTCATCCAGATCTGTACAAAGATGTATCCAATGCTTTCTATCAAAAGAGGCAAAATAAGAATATGGTCACAACTCTTTGTCTCAGCTAAACTGAATATTTGTTACTGAATATAGTAACTCTTAACTCACCACTGTAGCACACAAAGTAAATCACAGATGAGCATTGGTAAGTTTGCCAACCTCCAAAGGAAAGAAAGGCACATTCGTTTTGATTGTTTGGTTCTCCTGCTTTCCAGGCATTGTACTGTGCAAGTGCATCTTCTCCCTTAGACCAACCCCAGCGTTTCTGTGTTACCCTCTTCAGTCCAATCCACACTGATCCACTGTATCCAGCATCCACTATATTTATCAGCCTGCTTGCATCAGCCATGCTGTCTACAAAAGCCAGGTCAGTGTGCTTCGCTCTGCAGTAACTCTGAGCCTCTGGCCACGACATTCTTGCATTTATATAGTAGTACTTACGAGAAAGACCAGAAGTGGTCTTCAAGAGCCCTGTGAAAGTAATTTATGTAGATGTTTGTTTCTATAAAGTATATGCGTTAACATGTACATTAAAAACATTACAAATGACCACACCAACCTGACAGCAGAAGCAGCACAAACAGACTCCCGTCCATGACTTTTGGATCCTCTCTGATGTATTCTAATAAGAGATGATCAATCATACATTTTCAGAAATTAGAGTAAATACACAAGGTGCACTCCAAATGTTCCGCAACTTTACATATACCATTATTGGTCAACCAATTCTTGACCAATATTTTGTCAAGAAATGTTCTTAATACGTTACGTTACACTGTGGCTAGATGTTGTTGATATCAGGAAATAAGCTGTTTAAAATTCGACAGGCTTCCTTTACAGAATTCGACACATTTTCTATAGTCTCAGCCTCAAACAGCACCACACACTCACTGTCATATTGCAAACAAAACTGGTATTTTCTTGGTCTAGTAAGATTTAGTCTTCCGGAACATAGCTACATTACAAAGTACACCTGGGGATAACTATTCCTGTATTTAACATGTACATTTTATTTATTCATTTCCCAGATACGTTTAGCCAAAGCAACTTGCATTGTATTCAAGGTCTAGTATACATTTGATCTTTTCATGCATTCCCTCAAATCAATCAAATCCATTTTGTTGTTAGTAACATGCTGTTTTTGCTACAGGAACACAAATTTACTTTTATTAACATTTAAACTCGAGTATCAGATATAATGAGTATCAGAATGAGATGAAAAAGTTCAGTCTGCACCATAACATGATATATTATCTGAAAGCAAATATCTAAAATGTTTACCTCTTTACCTAAAAAATAATGTTGCACTGAGTGCTTTCGCCCTCAGGTCAAACACAATACAATCATATGCTTATTTTTTTGATGACGAGATGAGTCATTTTCATATTCAAATATTGTACTGGAGCTCATTGTCACTGAAGATGTTTTTCCATATTGTATCACACTACTGGTCACCAACGTCATGCACAAAAAGGAACATCTTGGAGAATTTCTGACAATTACTGAAGAAAAAAAATAATATATATATATATATATATATATATATATATATATACATACAGTTCACTTTTTGTTATGTTGCTGCCTTTTGTTAAACTGCTTTAAATTACTTTTTTCCCCACATCAATCTACACTCCATACACCATACTGGTAAAGCAAAAAACAGGTTTTTAACATCTTTGCAAATTTATTAAAAATAAAATGATTCCATTGCATACGTATTCATACCCTTATCTGGGACAGTTGAAATTTAGCTCAGGAGTATTCATACTGCTTGTAGATATTACTACACTTCAAGTGAAGTTAACCTGTGGAAAATTCAATTGAATGGGTATGATTTGGAAAGGCACACATGTCTCAATAAAAGGTATAACACCTGATAATGCATATCAGAGCAAAAACCAAGCACTAAGGTCAAAAGAACTGCACGTAGAGCTCAGAAACAGGTTTGCGTCAAGCCACACATCTGTGGAAGAGTTCAGAAAAAAATTCTGCTTCATTGAAGGGTCACAGAAACATGTAGTCTCTGTTAGCCTTAATGGAGGAAGTTTGAAACAACCAGGACTCTTTCTAGAGCTGGCCTCCTGCCCAAACTGAGCAACTGATGGAGAAGGGGTTTGGTTAGTGTGGTGACCAAGAACCTGATGGTCACTCTAGTTGAGCACCATGATCATATGTGGAGATAGGAGAAATGTACAGAAAGACAAACATAGCTGCCACACTCCACCAATCTGGGCTTTATGGCGGTGTGGCAAAACTCAATCCTCTCTTCAGTTAAGTAACATGAAAACACACTTGAAATTTGCAAAAAAGCACCCAAAGGACCATCAGACTCTGAGAAACAAGATTCTCTGGTCCGATGAACCTCAATTCTAAGCATCATGTTTGAAGGAAAGCAGCTCTGTTCATCACCTGCACAGTAGCATCTCAAAAGTAAAGTGTGCTGGTAGCAGCCTCATGCTGTGGGGCTGTTTTTCAGCAGCAGGGACTGAGGAACTCATCAGAGTAGAAGAAAAGCTCAATGCACCAAAATATTGAGATTTTGTGGAGCCTTAATGGAAACCTAGTCCAGAGCATTGAGAACCTCAGACTGGGCAGAAGGCTCACCTTCCAACAGGACAATGACTAAGCACACAGCAACAGTGGCTTATAGGCAACTCTGTGAATGTCCTTGAGTGGCCCAGCCACAGCTTGGGATTTAACCCAGTCAAATATTTCCAGAGAAACCTGAAAATATGCATCTACCGCCATCCAATCCGACAGAGCTTGAGAGGTGAAGAGGTGAGGAGAAGAATGGCAGATAATTGCCAAATGCTGATGAACAAAGCGTGTTGCATCAAACAAAAAAGGCTTGAGACTGTAAAAGTGCTTCAGCTAAATATTTAGTTATATACTGTATAACCACTTTCAGAACATCGAAAACACATTTCCAACATTTTCCTGGGACCTAGGCGTATACTTTTGTCCTCTGTAGAAGACATTATATTTTAGTTAACTTCTCTGAGACAGGACTAATTTTCAAATTTCTTGTCCTAAATGAACATCTCAGAACAACTTTGGTGGGGTTTGAAAGCAGAATATGATTTTCTGTTGTGAGACTTGTGTTCATTTCATACATGTCCACTCTAGAGGACACCAGGACTTCATGCTTATCAGGCATTTTAGTGAGGCATAGTGAATTCATTTAGTGAATGGGGAAATAAACTATATGAATATTTCTATAAAATATGAGATTTTATATGAAAATGCTGCTAAGTTATTATCATTATTATACTTCTTTTTTTCATTACATGTTGCCCAAAGAACACGATAATACGCAAATTAGAGACAATAAATAGATACATTGATTATAATAGGAAAACATTTTTGGTCATTTATACAAACATATTGTGTAAAGTAAAATAGTAACACAATGTAAGACAACCTTTGGATTCAGAATGATATAAATTAAACATTTTAATTAACAAAAACAAATAGGAAACAAATATGGAAATACGCAAAAGGCTGACAACTCTGTAAATATAACAGATGGTGTTAATGTGGCAAATGTAGTCCTATTCCGTGCAATTTTTATTGGTCCAACAGAAGTTACAAAATATTTTTTTTTTCTTTTTGCTTGTGTGGATGTTAAATAAATTACACATAAGAACCTGCTCTTTCAGATCTGTCATGTTAATATAAGTACATATCAAATAATGAACAGACATACAATTTCTTACCTTAATTTTTCCTGAAAATCCTCTATATTTTTTTACACAGAAACTTCTACAGTAGCTTATTTACAGTTGGCTAAAATGATGTAGTTATAATTCACCCAAGTTGAAACACTATCCACTCTATCCAATGAATTTAAGATAATCCCACCCCCAAACGGCAAGTAAAATCAAACTTGGTTGGTCATTACGTGCCGATAAGTGTAAGTGGGCGGTTCTTGACCAAAACAGAATAAGCTGCAATGTGGACCAGGCCTTTAGCCATTTAATCTAACAAATCCAAATATTTTTAGCAAATAATGTCAATGCTTCATATTAGCCTGGAACTGAAAGTGAATTCATATAAAAACCTCTGAGGTGAATGACATGAGGTCTGACTTACCTGAAAACCTCAATTTTCACTTCTATTAAAAAGTTCAATTAAATTATATTCACTTTTATTATATACTTCAGAATGAGATGGGGAGGTTCAGTCTGCACCATAACATGTTATATTCTCTGAAAACAAATAACTAAAATGTTTACCTGTTAACCTAAAGAACACTGAAGAATTTTGCATTTGCCCACAGGCAGGTAAAGCAAAATAAAAATATATGCAGATATTTGTGATGAAAGGACAAGTAATTTTCATATTCAAATAGCCCATTTTCATTGAAGACGCTTTCGGACATTGTATCACTTTGCTTGTCTTTAAGATATCTTTACATCAAAATGAATCAAAATGTACATGTTAAAATGGAAATAAATCACAAGGTGTGGAGACAATAATAAGACAATGATTATCAGCTTCATGACGAAGCCTCACCATTTTTGCTCACCAGAGCGGAGTCTTAAATATTCCACTCCGGAAAAATCTCAGATGGAAGAAACACACCACCTCAATTGCGAAGACAACCCAACAACACTTGCCTTTATTGAGACAGCTGTGATCAAATGTGAGCTATCACAAACTCTCTATGTCTGTCTGGTTTGGCTCTGCTTCGTCACACTCTAAAGCTGCTTTCACACTTTTCCGGAACCATGGAAAATTCAATCCCAGCATCTTAACTTACACTGTACATCTTTAAATGCTTTTACTCATTTCCAGGTGTAAATGCTGGGTAAAGATTTTTTGAGAACCTTTTTAGCATACTGCAGCAAAGGATTATATCACATTTTAATGTGATGCCAAGCAGTGCGTAATTTCCATAATCAAATTGCTCATTTCCACTTTGGATTTTTGCACATTGTATCACATTACTGCACAGTCACTGGTCATTTGAATTTTTTTTTAAAAGAATTCTACTGCTATTATCACATTACATAAACGTCTATCATGAGATCAGCAAAACTTCCTCTTGATGATATACAGCATTTACTGTGAATCACTACAAATTCTACATCACTATTCTAAAATATGCTCTCTCTATACATAAAATAAAGCAGTGGCTTATTAAATAACAAGCCTAAAGTCACTTATAACAAGTGACACCTCTTTTAACCATTTTGAAAAACAAGGCGTAACAATGCTTGTTAATAACAAACAATATGGTGTTACAAAAAACTGTAACACTTTAAAACACGGGTGCACTAATATGCATTAATTAATTCTTAACTAATGCACAGATAATCATGAGTTTGTGACTCATGAAGACCTAAACCATTCATTACTGATTACTACATCAGCAACTATGAGAAAGTCTGATTAATAGATCAAGTACTATATGAATTCCTTAACAACATAGTATTAAACGAATAGTGTAAATTAATGTGTTAATTACCACAGTGAGTCAAAGCTATGCATTTCAACTTCCAGTTGTCTGCTTTAATTAATCATTAGCTACTAATTTACAAAGACATCATTATGTTATGGCTTTACTTGTTGAGCCACATGTCTATTAACTCAT